GACCCATCAACGCCTTCCCGCTGCCAGTTGACCTCATTATGCCGAATTTCTGCCTTTACACCAGGGATTCGCCCGAGTTGTGTCAGGTGAGCGAGGAGTAGCATTTCCCTGGCGTTTTGACGTGTCTGGACTGCGAACAGGTTGTGAAATGAAAAAAAAAAGAAATGGAAATAAGATGCATGTGTTATAAGAACAGGTGATAATAGCTATAATAATGTTTATAATAATGATAATTATGATGATGATAATAATAGCTATAATAATGATGATGATGATACCAATAATATTGATAATAATGATGATAATGATTATGATGATAATAGTAATAATAATAATCATGATAACGATAATAATAATAATAGTAATGATGATGATACTGCTAATAATGGTAAAGAAAATTACAATAATACATACTGATAATAATGATAAAAAGGATAGTGATGATAATAAAAAATAAGAATGATATCAATAATAACAACAATAATGATGATGATAATATCAATTTGATAATGATAATAAAGATAATAGTAATAATAATGATAATAGTAATAATGATATTAATAATGCTAATAATGGCAATAATGATAATGACAGTAATGATAATAATAATGTTAATGATAATTGTATTGATAATAACAATAGCAAATATATATAAAGATAATGAAAATGATGGTAACAATAAGGATAGATAAACAACAATAATAATGATGATGATAATGATGGCAAAAATAATAATGATAATAATGACAATAATAATAATGATAATGATAATGATATTAATCAATACTACTACTAAAAAGAATTATAATTATAGTAATTATTGTAATAATGATAATAATAATAATAATAAAAGAAATATAAAATATAACAATGATGATATTGGTAATAAAAACAATAGTGATAATGATAACAAAAAATCACAAAAATTCAAATAGGAAGAATTAATAGCAATGATGTCATTAGTGATAATAAAAATGATATAAATGAAAACCATATAATGACAATGATACGCAGTGATGATAATGATGATAATGATATTGATATTAGTAACATAAATAACAGGGAGAGATGTAAGAAACTTTTTGAAGAAATGATAAGGAAGAGAAGGAAATGTGGAAGAAGGCGGAAATTGGGAGAATTAATTGACATCACGAAAACGTCAGAGCCAGGCTGCTCGCGGAAGAAGAAACAAAAGAAGAGAGAGAGAGAGAGAGAGAAAAAACTTTATTCTCGCGTACGGTTAATCGTAGTTTCCATAATTCGAGTTTGTTCCTGGTGTTGTCTAGTCAGAGACAATCTGATTCAAGAGTGAGATTTTGAAGCAAAGACATACGTATGGGGGGGGGGGGAGGGGATAGAAGATGCGGTAGGTAGAATAAAAAAAAAAAAATATTGGGGATCTTTGTCTCTACTTCGCTCCCCCCCCCCCCCCCCCACCGCTCTTTGGCCTGCTCGTTTCCCTTTGTTGCTTCGGATTAGACCGTTCTCGGTTTATGGTCCAATCAAGGCTTATCAGTTGTTGCAAGAGGATGAGGAGAAAAGGAGAGGAGAAAGTGGGCGGGGTCTAAGTCAGCTGTTTTTCTCGGGATCTGTCTGTTTGCCGTTTGTTTTTACGTGTGTTCATGCACTTAAGTGTTTATGCGCACGTACACACGCGCACACACTCACACACGCATACAGACACACACGACACACACACACACACACACACACACACACACCACACACACACACACACACACACACACACACACACACACACACACACACACACACACACACACACACACACACACACACGCACACATATATTTATGTGTATATATATATATATATATATATATATATATATATATATATATATATAATATATATATATAATAATATATATATATATATATATAATATATATATATATATATATATATATATATATATATATATATATTATATATATATATATATATATATATATATATATATATATATATATAATATATTATATATATATATATATATAATATATATATATATATATATACATATATATATATATATATATATATATATATATATATATATATTATATATATATATATATATATATACTGTGTGTGTGTGTGTGTGTGTGTGTGTTGTGTGTGTGTGTGGTGTGTGTGTGTGTGTGTGTGTGTGTGTGTGTGTGTGTGTATCTTTCTATCTATATAAGTGTGTGTGTGTGCGAATCCTTGTGCGTATGTGTATGTATGCATGTGAGTTCGATAAATACATGTATATGTTTGCGTGCAGGTGTGACGACCGAGGAGGATAAAGAATGCACAGATATCCTAAAGCGCTTCGTCCAATAAACCGGAAAAAGGATATGCAACAGAAGAAAGCGGCGCTGAGAACAAAGGGATTGGAATCGGATAATGATCGAAAGAAATTAGTAAAAAAAAAAAAATGAATGCAGATAAAAGAAAGAAAAGTGAATCCAGGATTTGAAAGAAGCGTGTCATGA